GTAGGGAGAGAAGGAGGAAGGAGGAGACGGTGTAGGGAGAGAAGGAGAAAGGAGAAGAGGGTGTAGGGAGAGGAGGAGGAAGGAGGAGAGGGTGTAGGGAGAGAAAGAGGAAGGAGGAGAGGGTATAGGGAGAGAAAGAGGAAGGAAAGATAAGAGATTAATGGGAGAAAGAGGAAAAATAGAAGAAAGATTAGAAGGATATAAGAACGACGAAGGGATGGAGTAGGAAATGAAGAATATCGTGGAAAGGACTAAGGAAGAGAAGTAAAGCAATAGGGAAAATGGAAGAGAAAAAGGATGAAGAACAAAAGAATAACAAAGTGATGCCTTCCCTATAGAAGGTCAAAAGAAGCTGACGAAGTTTCTCGACTGGTCAAGAAGTGCTAAGACTGAAGACCAGAGCCTGTATCTGAATGCTAGACATGGATGAGAGGATAATATTAAAACTGACCTTCATGAAATATATCGTGAGGGCGTGGACTGGATTTATAGAACCCCGTAGCGGGCTGTTGTGAACACGGCAATGAACTCTTTGTTTCAATGTTGTCGTGAATTTGTTGGTTAGGTTAGCAATATCAACTTTTCAAGGGCTGTATGCAATTAATATCATAGATGAATTAGAATGTATTTAAAAAGACAAGTGATACATTTTTGTAACCTGAACGACAGTGGAAATAACAAGTACATTCAGTCAAGACTTATTTGAAAATTGTGTAATAACCACTTTCAAAGCATAGATACAAATGTGTATGTATAGAACGAATTTTTTCCTATTAGCACGGAATCACACAACGAAGATCTAGCTACCGAGTTTAATTTATTCATTTATGTAGGACGATACATGATATGGAAACTTGCTTCTGAAATGAAAACTCCTCGGTCGGAAATTTACTGGAACTTTTATGATCAGACTTCAACGTCAATATAATGTGCGTTCATGCGATTTCCTTCCTCTTACATATGCGAATTTCAAAGAAGCTATGGCAGTTTACTTAACAGCCGTGTTAAAAAATTAAATATAGTTATCCTAGTAACAGGCAGTCGAGGCACATAGCTTTGTCGAGACGTCGAGGCACATTGCTTTGTCGAGACGTCGAGGCCCCACATTGTTTTTAATTCTCTTAGTGGGGGGTGGAGTCCAGCTGGGTCCACTCGGCACGGCGGCCTGCCCCGGGTGATTATGATGATGGAGAATTTGGTGGAATGAAGGTTGGCAAGGTAAACCGAAGTGCTCGGAGAAAACCCGCCCCAGCACCACTTTTTCCACCACAAATCCCACTTGACTAGAACCAGGATCGAACCCGGGCCGCCGCGGTGGGAAGCCAGCGACTAACCGCTTGAGCTATGGCGCGGCCTGGTCCCGACATTTTCTAGACAATCGGTTCACAGATGGCGGTGAGGTTGTCTATAGAGATCATCGAAGAGAAAGAACCCTTAGGGGTCACTGAAAAGTTAAATGAATACAATACTAATACGGAGTTTACAGCAGATCTAGTTATGTTTTCAGTTTCATATTAATTACAGTGCAGCGAATCTGCGGCCTGCAACGAGTATAAGCAATTTATTACGCTAATTCGAAATAGGAAGCACCAATACGCATCATGATTAATTATTCACATTGCAAAATTTACATTCAGTCTGCGTTGTACACAACAACAAAACTTGACATTCTGAATTTATCTGTGATAAACTGAAGAATTAGATTGAATTATAGTAAAACCTCGGTTTTAGATGCTTGAAGGAACTACCTAAAATAAACGTAAAATTCAGGATATTGTAAAATAGAGAGAATAAAAATAACTTTCCCAAGCTTTCTAAAAATACGCATTTTTGAATGCAATAAAAAAGTAAACGTGAAAACATTAATTTACGTGGCACTTTATTACTTTAACCAGTCAAAGAGACTCATTTATTTCCTTTGTTCTTGAGCTTTCAATCTGTATAGCCCTCTCACGTAACGTCAAAAAAAAATTCATACGCAAAAGTGTACCAGTTTAACTAGAACAAACTCTGAACATGTGCGGAACTTTGAAGGCCTTCATTCGAATTTTCCACAATAGAAAGCAGCGAACGTAAAACTAAACAAATCTCCATTGTCAAGACTCGAAACCCGGAACGTAAGTTAGGTTAAATACAAAACTGGATAAAATTAAACTGGTCTTATGGATATCTGACTGGAGCTAGAAGAAAATTTTTGTAAAACTGCTCATGTTTTTACGTCAGAAGTCCGTTTTGCTTGAAGAATTCCTGTGAAATGAACAAAGAAAAATTCTTATGTATAAAAGCAAAAAATAAAACTATGGGTAAATGCGAATTATCCCCTTTTTTGAGGTATCTTATAATTAAAAAAATATTGATATTTCGATATTGATTAGTAGTGCAATAATCCATTCAGCAAATTTATTTAACTCTCCTTGTTACGTAGAACATTGTGGCATATAGACCCGTTGCTAAGCAGTGAATTTGTAACCATCGGCCGTTGTTAGGTAACGTCCGCAACATACATGAACGCAACAATAGAAATACGACGCTTTCTATGCTGTCCGCCCCGAGGCCGTTGCTATGCAACGACGAGGTAAACACGCCTCTACAACAATAGAGGGGATTGTGTTTTCTGCGTGGTCCGTACCGAGCCTATATGTAGGAAGCAGTGAAACTATTTGACGAGGCGACGAAAAGGGAAGTCTCAAATCTGAGACAGTAAAATATGATCTCGAGTCCCAAGGGACTCAGACCCGAGAAAGACTGCACTGGCAAGGGCCAGCAGCACAAACAAAAGACAGACCCGGCCTCTCGTCAGAGAGGGCGGCCCACAGAAACAAGACCGTAACCGTAATTCTTTAATGATTTGATCTCGAAACATTACAAATTTGCCTAAGTTTATGAAGTACTAAGCCTCGAGGAGGTATCAATTTGTCTTAATATGAGAAATTGGTGCAAAGACATTGTACATATTTTCCCATACACGACTAACCTTGACTCCGGTGCCTTGGAAACGAAATTTCGTGGTAGAGTATTGCTGGTTATTTACGTAATACCGAACAACAATACATTCCGCCTGACTGTTAATGTAAGTTTCGAGAAAACCGATATTTCACCTGAGCCTAGTTGCACGACCACCAGACTCGTGCGGCGCTAAAATACTGTCATGATTCCCACATGACTCGGAAACAAGAATGACTGTACTGGCTAAGACCATCAGAAATTTACCTGACCCGACTCTAATATTTCACCTTCGCGTCTCGTAGTGCGCAAACTGTTATTTTTCTGAGAATATGAACCACTTATATTTAGAGATATAGTCTACATAAATTAGTCAGTAAAAGTATGGTAAAGCTGTCCCTGTGCTTAACTAACTAAACACTACGCCATGAAGACGTGTGGGGGAGTGGATGTATAGATCCACGTTTTCTTCTCCTCGGCACTAGTTGGAGATGAGCGATCAGCTTCACGCACCGCCCGCTTTACACCCGGCGAAAGAGCCCCCGTACGCATTGGATAGGAGGCTGGGTGGGCCCCAGAATCGGTTTGGGCGACATGGAGAAGAAAATATTCTTGACCCTACCGGGATTCGAACTCCGAGCCCTCGTTCGTCTAGTCCGTAGCCAGTCGCTATGTCGGCTGCGCTATTCCGGCTCCTATAAAGTCAGTAGCTTACACTACGCAGAGTTGAACGGTAGAATGATTTTCATTTGCATTTAATTATCCCTAATTTTAATTAGATTAATAAACTTCAAAGAATACCGTTGGTAATTCTGTGCACTACATTATGGAGTACACAGTTTCCAACATTTTTTTAGGGTGCCGAATTCATAACGAAAACTTAAAAAAAAATGGCTCTTAACTCCGCGATATCTCTCTGATCAGTCACGACTCAAGGACTTTCATTAAATATATCAGACAGCTTCATTAGTATTCGTCGATACAACCAAATTTCGGTTAAAGTCTGACAAATTTAACACTTTAGAGGAAGAACTACATACATTTCTGAGCGAATCCAATGCCTGACTCGTTCAAAATGATCAAGGCGGAAAAAACATTTTGGACAAAATCTTTTTATAAAAATGAAGCGTACATTGTAAGATTTGAGGCTTTCACGGCGGTGACTATGAAGAAAGCAGTCTTCTGGGATTTGGCACCGTGTATATGTGGTGTTAACCGACGTTTCGGAGGAACGTATCGCCTCCATCTTCAGGGTAGAAAGAATATAAGAAATCTGCAAGCGAAGAGACCGTGAGAACAAGTAAAATCAGATCGGTCTCTTCGCTTGCAGATTTCTTATATTTTTTCTTCTACCCTGAAGATGGAGGCGATACGTTCCTTCGAAACGTCGGTTAACACCACATATACACGGTGCCAAATCCCAGAAGACTGCTTTCTTCGAAGCATACATTATATGTCCAATAAAAGTTATGTAATAAGTCTTATGATTTGGTGAACAAACAGTGATTGCTATTCTATGCCTACACTTCCTAACTTGTTTTAGATTAAGATCTGTTAAAATCTGGTCTATCTGTCTATGGCTCTACAGTTCTCTTGTTGGACTTCGGCCGGTTTTCAGTTTCTTATTCTATACACAGTTGGTAGGACTCCTTGGACGGGGGATCAGCATCTCGCGAGGCCGCTACCTACACGCAGGACAAAACAAAGAAAAAACCCACAGGAATCCATGCGTTTGAGTGGGATTCGAACCCACGATCAAGGCGTTTTAGCGTGAGAAGACGGCCCAGGCCTTAGACAGCTCGGCCACCGTGATCGGCTAAAATATGGTCTAATTTTGTATACTGAGAATTTTTGGAAGACATAAGATGGAATAATTCATTCTGTGACTGATATCAATGTTAATTGAAATTAATATCTAACATCAACCTATCAACATGAAAACTGGACATTACAATTTATAGATCAGTAAAATGATAAAATGGAATCATTCTAAATCCGTAAATGAGAATTAAAATTTAGGATTACTGTAATCTGCGTTAATTGTGTGTAGTACGTACCTTGAACCAGCTTGTCTTTACACCGATTTGACTGCCTTCATTACTGTTGCAAACTGGGCCACAAGTGTAAACACGAACCGCGTATTACCATTCCACGTAGCGGCCAACACAGTCAGTTTACAATTATGTTTATTCACACACGATCCATTCTTGAACAGATGAACGACCACTAGCTTCTCAACAAACACTCGTCACATCATACACGATAACTCTTAGCACATAATAATCGAAATATATCGATTTATACAAGCAGTTCGACACACTGTCTATCCGGTAAATCCTGACCGATATTTAACGCGGTCTTCTCAGTCATACCAGTCAAATGCCGAGTTTGTACCTCAGTTCACAAGCGTTTTCTTCCGAATCCTTTCTAATTCATTGTTAACCTAAGATCCTACCGCTAGACATTATATAATCAATGATACTGAAAGGGTCGTAATAAAACCCATAAAAACACTGAAGTAATTTTATTATTATAAAATAAGGTTATATTTCAGTATCATTAGAATTACATACCTATCTAAAGAGGATAAACATGATAATCAAGAATTAACGAGAGACTAAAATAATTTGACATTCAATTAAAATGTATATAAATGTTTACCATTTTAATTCGTAAAACTTTTAAACAGTTCTGGAAATGAACTCAATCATTGCCTGTGTTATTCATTTTTACGGGTTTGGTATGACATGACCACGAACAACAGGCCTTTATCCATTCCTACCTCTGTCACAGTCCACATTCACAACACCAGTGACACATCATCGTATACTGTAACATTCAAAATATGTTTCATTTCGACTATATGACGCTAAATCTTAGAATATCTCACAAATCACTTTTACTCTCACCCCACACACGACTTCATTTCCTTGAACTGCAGTTGTTTTTCTGTCGTTTGGCCACGTGTACAGCAAACGCAAGGTAGGTGGCGTTGGTGTTCTCGCACGCCTTAACGTATACATCGGTGATAGTGACAAATGAGGCAATAGGAAAACATATGGGCAGTGAATAAATCCTACAGCGCTCTGAGTTGGTGTTTTACAAATGCAAATCTAAAGTTACGCATGTGCTTAATTATGTACCACGCTATGAAGGCGTATGGGGCAGTGGACGCATAGGTCTGTGCATCTTTAATCACTGCACTAAACGGAGATGAGAAGTTCGGCTAGCTCAGTCGGTATAGCAACTGGCTACAGGCTCGACGGGTCCTGGTAGGGTCAAGAAATATCTCTTCTCCGCGTCGTCCAGTCCGGCTCTGGGGCCCACCCAGGCTCCCATCCAATGGGTACCGGGGGCTGTTTCCTTGGGAGTAAAGCGGCTGGGACGTGAAGCTGACCACTCACCTCCAACTAACGCCGAGGTCAAGAACAATGTGGATCTATACGTCCACTCCCTCATATACCTTCATGGCATAGTGCTTTTGGCCCTTGGCCTACCTTCATGAACTTCTCCGTTCACTTCGGTTTTTCTAGATCTTACACATTCGGTAGGACTCCTTGAGCGGGTGATCAGCTCGTCGCAAGGCCTCTACCTGTACACAAACACAGAAAATCGCACACACACAAACTAAACATCCATGCCCTGTGTGGGATTCGAACCCACGATCCCGGTTTCCAAGCGAGCGAAGACAGTGCATGCCCAGGGATAACTTTACCTTTACTACACGGAGATGAGTGGTCAGCATTGCTCGCCCCTACACCCGGCCATTTTACCCGCGGGGAAAGGAAACCCGACGCCATTTCGATAGGAGAGACTATTAGCCACACTGAAGAGGAACATCTTTGCCTAAATCGGAAATCGAACTTTCATTCCATCGTCTAGCCCGAAAGAATCCGTGCGAAGTATGCCCCATAAAAGAAAATTAAAGTCGTGTTTTGATATTTGTTTCTAGTCGCAAATCAACTTCTTCAGGACATTACAGTAAGGGTAACTCAGGGGTGCAGATAATGACATATACTTTTTAAAATATCTTGTTTGAATTATGACCAAAATATTAGTACATTTTTCGATATTTCTGTCAATTTCCGGAGTTCTTCAAGGCAATACCCGGTTAATTGTCCTAAGAGAAGCTACGGCATCTCATTCAGCCCTTGTTTCCGCCTGCCGTCTGCATTCAGAACTGCCGTTGCTATGCCTGACATTTGTTACTGACTTGTCCTACTTGAGGAGCTAACAGTTATTCACATAACCAAGAAATTCCCAGCACTGTACAGAATCCGAATGTTCATTACATTGTTCAGGAGTCCGACACTGGTCTACATTCTGAGTCATATAAGCCAACATACTATTTCATTAACATTCATTTTAATATTATCCTCAAATTAAAAAAATTGCATAGTGGGAGGTAGAGTCCAGCTGGGTCCACTCGTCATGTCGGCCACTAATTGGCCTATTGTACCTGCTACGGGTGATTATGATGATGGAGAATTTGGTGGAATGAAGTTTGGCAGGGGAAACCGCATTACTCGGAGAAAACCTGCCCCAGCGCCTCTTTGTCCACCACAAATCCCACTTGACCAGACCCGGGCTCGAAACAGGGCCGCCGCGGTGGGAAACCAGAGACTAGCCGCTTGAGCTATGGTACGGCTCTCAATATTATCTTTCTATGTCCAGTCCCCCGAAGTCTTTAAAGGGTATTTCCTTCAACTTTTTGAGTAATATTTCTTAATTCCTAGTCTACATGTCCTCCCAGTCTCCTCCTACTTCAATTGACTTTCTTAACAATATTTGAACTCTGCAAGTACGAAAATCAACAATAAAACTCATGATAGCGAAGAGCGTGGTTCGATTCCAGCCCTTAATCTCAGTGTTTAGCTGAACACAATAGATTTGAATCCGTGACAGTGTGTTTAAGAGGACAAAACATTGTTCGTGTTCAAAATCCTAGAGTTGAAATGGACAAACCGCAGTTCGATACGATCCAGAGGCCTCAGGGTTTCGTTGAACAAAATGCAGTCCGATTCGCACCCGTGTCCTAAGTGTTTAACTGGACAAAATGCAGTTGTACTCTTAACTGCCTAACTTCTGTAGAATCACCGGAGACAGAACATGATACACAGCCTGTGTCTTAACATGAACTGCGCAGACAGCTCTACGAGAGACAGCCAACGTGTGAAATACACAGAGCAGACAAACCGAAACCTGTTCCCACGAGCACAGCAGGAGGACAAAGCACAAGGGGGGGGGAGGTACTTTTCATTCTTATTCATCTTAATATGACGTATTTGTCTCCGCGTGCCGCGTCCTTGCATATGAACTGTTTCTTTCCGTACTTGGGTTCTATAATAAATTCAAACGGAGTGAAGGAACATTCAGTAGTTAGTTCACATTTGCATCATCACTATCATGAATGCGGTCTGTGTTTGCGTACAGGAAGCCTTTTGCTAGGGAACCCTTTTGCATCTCTTAAACACTGTAGGTCACATGAATGTAGGGAAGACTGGAATAAACTTCCCCCTCTAAAACAGTTTTTAAGCAACATTCTTCCCTATCTAATTTGAACTTTTCTGTCAGTTAAGATATGGCAAAGTGACTCCTGTTCCTTATTAATTAAGCACCATGCCATGAATACGTATGGGGGAATGGAGGTATAGAGCCACGTATTCTTAACTTTGTCGCTAAATGGAGGTGAGAGATTAGCTTCAGGTTCCTGCCGCTTTAACCATGCAGAAAAAGTCTCCGATACATAATAGACATGATCCTGAGAGAGCCCGGAGCCGGTCTGGGGAAGATAAGAATATTTTGCTCTTGCCAAGGATCGAACCCCTATTTTTCGGCCGTCCAACCTGTCGTCCACCGCAATACAAACTGAGCTCTCCGGTGAATTACTTCATGGCGAAAGGTCCTTTACTTGTGGACTGATTAATTAGGAAGAATTTGAATGGAAGTGGTAGTGGCCGAATAGTAATACTGTCCCAGCATTTTTCGGGAAGGACTGAGGAAAACTACGAAATCCCTCAGTCATGATAGCCGAATATCGCAACCGAGATTCGAACCAATCATGTCCAGAATGCACGTCCAGGACGTTACTGCTGCAGCAGCCTCATCGGTGAGTCCTTCTTGAGAAGCTACTAGTCGCTCAATTAGTGGAATTCCTGGCCTATTACGGAACACGCAAGTTCATTACCATGTTTACAAAATCCTCTAAATTTAAATGCATGTACTTAGTAACCGGAAGGTCTATTTTCCAGTACAGCAACTTGTAATTATAGCACGCAGGCCTATACCTTTCACAGTGGCCGCGCGGTCTAAGACATGAACGTTCTTCACCCGCTCGAACACTGGGATCGGGGGTTAGAATCCCACTCGAAACTTGGATATCTGTGTGAATTTATTCTGTGTTTGTGTTGTTGTGTGTGTACGTAGGGGTCTTGTGACGGGCTGATCCTCCGTCCAATGAGTCCTACCGGCTGTGTATAGATTAAGAAACTGAGAAAAAAAAAGCGGCCAAGGTCCAAAGGGCTGTACTGCCACAGACAGAGAGAGAGAGAAATCATGAAATGATACAATGGAAAATATCCGTATTTATTTATATATTTATGGGTTATTTATCGATGCTGCCAGTTGTTCACGTTATGTAGCGTCACGTGTTAGAGTTGAAAGGATGTGGACGGAAGTGGTCATTGTCTATGTAGGATCTGAGGCTCTCACAACGGTTATCACGAAGCACCTCCGTCTTCTGGCACATAACTTGAGTTTTAGCGGACTACAGGCTTTGTATCTCAAAAGAGAGAACTCTTCGGTCATAGTATAATTAGAGGGAGTATCCGGATATATGTGGAGGTACTGAGGAAAATTACAAAACTATCACAGTCAGGATAAGCGGTCTCCAGGCCGAGATTTGAGGCCGAGATCTCCCGATTACGAAGCAGAAATATCACCCACATAATCATCACATCCAGTTGAAGGGACTAGTAAAAGATAAAAAATAAAAGTATTTTCTAAATGAGATTCATAAGCCTGCTTTCCTCATAACACTTTCATCTGAAGAGAGTTTAGAAAATTACTTGCGCCTGTAACGTGACTGCATGTAGCTTGGTAGAAAGGTACCAATATTTTACACGAACTTGCTACATTCATATTCAAGGTAAAAAAAAAGGTAACGTTGTTACTACAGGCTGTGGAGGCTCATACGGTTGTGAGACGTCGAGGCTCTCACATTTTCTAGACAATCGGCTCACAGATGGGGGTGAGGTTGTCAGCATTACGCGCCGGCCTCCTTTACCCCCCCCCCAGGAAGATTCCTGGTACTCATTACTGTTAAAGGCTGAGTCGACTTCAGAACCATAGTGCGGCTGGATGGATTAGGTCAACTGAAAATCCAATGGCCTCATCCGGATTCGATCCCGTGACCTTCCGGCTTTTAGCATAGTTCCTCAACCAAATACGCTAGCGCGTGTCTCATATTCAGAGAAGAAGTATGTATATATATATACGAGTATATATATATATTTAGTCACTCCATATAACAGAACCTTGTATTTCAGAGTCTGTGTACCCCTTGCAGGGCTATCTGATGTTTTCCTTGTGTGTTCATTTCTGGTATCTTCCGCACGAGATACAAGATATGGAGACTATTATACTCTTTTTCATCTCGCTCAGGCCTTCCGCCCTCAGATGTCTCTCGTGGTTAGTTCGGTACCTGACGGGAGGGAACTGCATAAACCACAACAGCAAACCATATACGATCATCTGAACAAGTCTGTTTGAGAATAACAGCAAATGGTTTTGTGTCGTAAGAGAGAACATGAAATGACAGGAACATGAGGATGACTTATTACAGAATAAAGATGGAAAGAGAAAAGAATAGTCAGAAAAATGGATAAAAAGTACATAAAACTAGCTGTAAAGAAGAGGAAATGGTGAAATG